TCAACAAGCATTGAAAATTCGAGAGCAGTGTTATCCAACTGGTCATGTTGATATTGCTTCTAGTTTCGACAAAATTGGTAATATTGAGTATCGTCATGAAAATTACGATGCCGCTGTCCATTATTATCAACAAGCATTGAAAATTCGAGAGAAATTCCATCCATTTGGTCTTGTAGATATCGTTTCTAGTTTGAACAACATTGGACTTTGTTTTGAAAATCAGAACAAACAAAAGGTTACACTTGACTACTACCAGCGTGCATTGACAGTATATGAGAAGTTTCTTTCTGTTGATTACCCACGTCGTTATGAAACTGAGTATAAAATTCATCAAGTTATTGCGAAGAAATAAACTTATTAAATAGCACAGTAAAGAATCAAATCTCATTAACGATGTAAAGATTGTATTTTTGAAGGTTCATTTTTAAATATATATATTCGATATTTGTCGTATCCTGCATTCTAGCAGTCACACAGTTCTACATTGAATTTTGTTTAGTAATTGAAAAACTGAATTCATAGAAAATTTTATACGATAATTAATGTTTATTTGTGTGAAGTAATCACGACGAATAATTACTTTATCTTTTCGATATATAAATTGTATTAGTGAAAAAATTATTTTCTTTTTCATTGTATTAAGTATTGAAAACTTAAATTCAAATCTAGCTTACTTTGTTTTATCAGTTTAGTGAATTTTATTGAAAAAAAAATTTTTATTCGAAATACGAAAGAACTTTTATCGAATTCGTTTTAATAAAAGATATTGAGCCTTATTACAAGTTGTAAGCTCTTTCTCTTTGTCAGAAAATGTGCACTCGAACGTAGGATGCTTACAGTAAAAATTTCAGCACAAAATATTGAGTTGTTCAAGATTTACTCCTACATTAAAGGTCATAAAGTTGATGTCACAGGGGAACATGTTTGAGTGCATCCACACAAGAATATTTTAGAACCATTCTATTCTATGCGGACTTCTATGATTATCTCGAATATGAATATCTTACCTATCTTCGTTTAGATCTGAAAATAACAGAATATCAAACTTTTTGGTTCTAGATCTTACAGTCAACGACAAAAGTTTAAGCGAATTTGCTTTTTCCAATTTTTTTTTATATTTGCTTTTTTAATTTTTTTTTCACATTAAGAAGCACTGATCTGATTTAAATGGTAACATAGATAGTATCAGAGACCGTCTACAAGATGTAGTATGAGAAGAGACTCTGTCTATATATGCATTGATTTTTTACAATTAAAGTACTTTTTGCCAAGCAAAAATAGAATCAAGTATTCTTCAGTATTTTACATTTTCTAACCAAGAGATTTGTGCTAAAGTAATAACAAAAAATACACCGATTGATAGAAAATTTCATGTTGTATTAGATTCTTTTAAAAAAACTTCGTTCCTACAGTTGACCTTCACCCCACACCCACCCACAACCTTTTCACGCTGATCATCTCTACGTATCATGTGTGACTATTGAAGGGATGAACATTTCTTAGGAAGAAAAACTAATAAAGTGAAACTGATCAAGAACTATGGCTTTTCCATTTTGTTCATTGATATCCTTATCTAGTGCACTCGCCCTACCTTCAACATGCAAGAAAGGAAACCTTCTTTTTTCTGTGTATCACACTTAAAGAAATATTTCTTTCTCTTATTAGTATCATGCTATTTACACAACAATGTTTCACTATCAACAAGCAACAATTTCCTTCAGCGAAAGAAACAAAGGCAAATCATCAGCCAATATCACCCACGAAATAATTTGATTAGATATTAACCAACAATATTCATACCTTTGAAGAAAATAGACACGAAAAAAGCGAAGCTGCTTGTTTCCCCTTGAACATGTTTGTGGTCTTCTGCATTTCATAGTAATGTAGATTTTTACACGGCTTTTTGCGGCGAATGCTTTTCTTTTCCTTATAAATCCATAAAAAAAACATTCATGAAACATATCCTTCTATTCTCGCTTGTCTTCACATCCACATGGACAATAACCAGCTATCTGATGAATGTATCTGTTCCTGGTGAGTCAGTTCGATTGATAAGCGAGCTCTATGTCGAGGAGACGCCTTCTGATCCTCCCACATATCCTCCAAGATGAACAGCAACTACTCATTTCCAATTTATCAATGTGTCAAATAATTTGCCTGCTGGTGCTGGCATCTTATACCAGGTAATTGATTCAATCAATCAAAAATTTCGAGCCGATGACCTCTATTTTGCGGGAACATTTTCCTCTGCCTACGATACTCTTTTTTACCTCATCTGTTCCTCTCGACACATACGCCTACTATGCTAGCCTTACACTAAATGGAATATCATGTGTTATATAACCAGGAAATCCAGTCACACTCTCACAAAATTAGATTACAAAGTTATGTTCGTACAACTCGTCCCTATACTATCAGAAAACCAAAGCTTATCGATAGAATTGTGCGACGCATGTTGTAACTTGGTTTATCGATACGGCAGCTGTTGATGGACGTCTCATTTATCAACATACACTTCCTCAACCATTGTTTGATGTCTATCAGGATTTATGGTTCACTAATTACACTGTTGTTGTAGAAGAAATTTATCAAGCAATTTTCATTCCACTAAAAGGATGGAATTGTCCAAATTATGAAACTGCCCAATCCGTGAAGCATACGCTTTGCATAACACTTCCTTTTATTCCGATACTATTATACGCTCTTAATCACCATTATATTAACTAACTCCTAAACCTATTACAAATTTTATTCTGTATTCATAAATAGGTGAATCCTTTGAGTTTCAACCATTTTGTGGAAAGGTGATCGGGTTTTTTGTATGATACAAAATCAGCACTTTAGATGTTAGTATTCGAGTAGTGGATAACGTTTAGAAAAAGTCTTCTCCCTGAGGAGAGCATACAAATTTTAGTCGGAACAGACCTTTTTTGACAGCTCGACCATACCCACGTGTGAGACTCTTGATTGGATGCAGTTAATGTTTTTATTTTTCATAAAACACGTAGACTTAGAAATAACGTAATGGGGTATTGTCTGCACTTATGAACAAGAGCGCTCACTATGAAATCGCTTACCTTGACTTGGGTTGACGTAATTTCTGAATAATTTTATTGAATAGGATTAATAATAATGTTTATTTTATAATAAATAAACA